TTGTCCTGAGTACCTTTCGGGGGAGTGCCTCAGAGAAAGAGTGGCGAGGAGAGGGGCATTTTGGTGGTGTGGGGGACGGCCGCGCAAACCCTGCCCAGCCGTCGAACGAGCCTCCTTGCGCCTCGGTATCTATTCCTGTTGAGTCTGTCTGAAAACGGGAGAGCCGGGGGTGCGGTGGGGGAGTTGAGTGTGGGGGGTGGTAACTTGGAGCAAATTTGGGAGAAAAGGAGGGGCAAGTCCTAAGGCAAACCGAAGGGGTCCCCCTCTCCTCTCAGCCTTTGAGCATCACCCCCTCCTTTTCATTACTCGCTTGCCTGGATGAGTTTCGAACGTGGAGCTTTCCGCCTTTCTCTCCCGAATGGGTGGGCGATACTCGAGTGGGACTTCAGGGGATTCCTTCGTGCGTTTCGTGCCCGCTTGCGCCCTCCAGCCATGGCTAGCCTTCGGGGATGAGAGCTAGAAATGAGAATCGGGAGCAGTTTCTGTTTGTGAAGAGGTGTATGTGTGTGCGTGTGTGTAGGGGGTGACTGTAAAGCCAAAGCGGATGATGGGTGGTAGGGCAGAGCCTTGGTGCTCTGGGAACTGTAACTGAAACAATTCAGCGATTAAAAAAACAACAAAAACAAGCGTTTGGCTGTTTTAAAGTTTTTGCTCTGCAAGGTGCTGGCTGCTTTTCAAGCATGTCCTTGCTTTGCCAAGCCCCCCCCCCCCCCCAGTTTTTTTTGGTATTGCAGCTAACCACATTATTTTACAGAAGATCGTCTTTTAAAACAATGCTCCTGTTGTTTGAAGGTGTCTTAAACAATAAGGCTGTGTAACACTAACAGATATTAAAATTTTGTCCTCATGGCTGTTCAGCACTCTTAAATCAATATTGGCTTTCTTCATATGAATTATTAGATGCGTCTGGTCTCTGATACAAGAGGGCAGTGTATTGTGTACATTGTGAGATGGATATACCGTGTGGCTTGTTTGAACACTTTAAACTGCGAAATCCCATATTGTAGGTGGTGTTGGATATAGAAATATTATATTTTTCTTGATGAAAGAACTTGAGGTGCTGAATAATGGCTAGATATGGGCTGCCCTTATCATTTTCCCCTTTCATTTTCGTCTCTTTTTACATATTATTGCTTTAAATCATGATATCTGTTCAAGACTACCATGCATGAAAATGTAGGCAGTCTGTAACTATACCTCTCCTGCTATAAAGGTAATAGATTTGCTTTTGACCATACTGTACAGGGAGCCTATGGTGTTCACTAGTACTCGACATAAGACCAGACAGCTAAATTACTGCTAAATTGGTCTGTAAGTTTTAAGTGTTCAATCTCCATTTAAGTTTTATAGATGAAATAAAGCTTTATTGTATACCTTTTGACTTGAAAGTTTATATTGTATGTTTATATATTGTGTGCAGTAGCTTATCAGATATATATCAGATAACTGTGCCAGAACGCAGAGTATAAAGGAAAAGACCTAGTCACAATAGAATAATAAAAAACCAAAACTGTATTTTTACACTGTGTTGAGCGTAACAATATAAACCATGTATAAAAATGGAAACAAAAAAACAACCCATTGGCTTTTGTATAGATATTGGAGGAAACAAAAATCCACTTGAGCAAGGGAATACATTGTGTGTAAGATGAACACTGGCATGAATGCCTAAGATGATATTGGACCCCAGTCTGACATTGGAGGTTGCTTCAGGTCTTGCATGTAAATGAGCAATATGAGCAGTAATCGAAGATCTTATTTTTGCATTGTGTTCACAAAGCAGCTTGAGACAGGCTGTTATACTCACTCCCAGTGCAAATAGGACTGTCTTTACCATGCAAAATATTCCACTGAAAGTATTGGGGCAAATATAATCGTGCATTTGTATTCCTCCCATATTTATAATAACTGAGAGCTGACTATTATCGTTCATATTGTCTAATGGAATCTCATATTAGGAGATGCACAGAATTTAACTGGGCTAACATGGGCGTGTGCACTGAATGGCTTTTTAAAAATTGCTGGAGGTAGCAGTAATAAAGAGCTGTGCATTATTAGTCTGACACGTAATTGCTTATTTGAAATAAAATAGCAGTATTCTGATGAACAAGTAAGATTGGGGGCATGAGTTTAATTCTAATAATACAGAATGAAAGGATTTCTTTGGGGATAAGCTTTTACAAAGGAATTTCTAGTGACATATCTTGAATCTTTTTATAACATTTGTAGATCATACATGTATATAGTCAAGGGTGTGTTTTTATGGATACTCACCATTACCATTGAACTCACTGTGGCTTGCTTCTCACGAAACGTGTCTACATTGGGTTTATAGCCACAATTGCCAAAACTAGAGGAATGGATGGCAGGGGACAGCTCCTGCCAAGTTCAAATACTTCTGTAAGATAACAATCCACTCAGTTAGGAAACTTTTTGTCCACTAAACCAGTCACTGCTTTCCATCAAGCTGGGCAGCTTGGCCTGCTTCAAGTGCATTGACTTTTCCTCTTACCAGTGCAGTCCCCTGGCACTATGTGTTGTAGGTAACTGGACAGTTTCTGGACACAGAGCCTGATAAATTAAAAATATTGCTATAGTAATTAATTTTGGTGTAGTGGTTAAGTGTGTGGACTCTAATCTGGGAGAACCGGGTTTGATTCCCCACTCCTCCACTTGCAGCTGCTGGATGACCTTGGGCAAGCCATAGTTCTGTCAGAGCTGTTCTCTCAAGGACAGTTCTCTCAGAGCTCTCTCAGCCCCACCTACCTCACAGGGTGTCTGTTGTGGGGAGGGGAAGGGAAAGGAGTTTGTAAGCTGCTCTGAGACTCTGAGTGAAGGGTGGGGTATAAATCCAATTTCTTCTTCTTCATCTTCTATATTAAAAATAATTTCCCAAGGATTGGGAAAAGCATTGATCCATTTCATAGGGGCCAATCACTGTCATCTTGGTATTAGTTGCTGTTTTAATGTGGAGCTGTTGTAGCCTGCCATTTTAATCAGAGAAGTGTATAATAGATTGGTTTCCGGTGTGGAAACTATGTTATCCAAAACCAGGCATCGCTTTTTACATGACTAAGGAGGCAATCTTATTACAGAAAGCCCCACTGGACACATGGAGATTTATTTTAGAGTAAACATTCATTTATTTACTAAAATAGTTCTATCCTGCCTTTCTGCATGGCTTTAGATAGCTAATAAATCACAATTAAAACATCAAAATTACTCTCTCCCCAAATGACATTTGCAAATTTGTATCTCATTAAAAGGTGTGGCAAAGAAAATGGCCATGCAGTATCTCCTAAAAGTTTCTTAAGATGGCGCTCCCTATATCTGCTCCAGGAGCCTGTTCCACAAAGTAGAAGCCACAGTGGAGAAGGCATGTTCTGTGATTAATAACAGCTGGGGTACCTTAAGTGAGGGCAAAGCCAGTATATAGCAGCCTGAGGGCTGTAGATGGACATGGGTATATATGAAAGGAACTAGTCCTCTAGATACACGGGCTCTAGACCATGAAGGCCTTTAAAAACACGGAGGGAAGCCCCGCCCCCTTCTGTACCCCGCCCTCTGCTTCGATCCTCATTCCATTTGGGAATGAGGATGAAGCAGGAGGGTAAGTAGCCGGGCCTTCTGACACACTTCCGGTGATGTCAGGGGGTGTGGCCTTCTGTCACTTCCGGTGATGTCAGGGGGCGTGGCATATGCAAATAAGTTATGCTAATGAGTTATGCTAATGAGCTCCAGCAGCTCTTTTTCTACAACAAGACCCCTGGACATGGGTATATATGAGAGGAACTAGTCCTCTAGATACACGGGCTCTAGACCATGAAGGCCTTTAAAAAGCATAACCAGCACTTTGAATTGGGCTAAGAGAAGAACTGGCAGCCAGTATAGTTTTAAGAGAGCTAACAGGAACATCAGTTTCCTAGCCAATGGCTGAAATCAGGCTGTTACATTCCGAACCAGGTGAAGTTTTTGAGTTGTCTTCAAGGGGCTGCCCAACGTAGAATGTGTTATGGTAGTCCAGCTGTGAGGTATTTGGTTTATTTGTATTCTGCCTTTCTACTGTTTTAAAGTACTCAGTGATCTAAGGTGATCTGGAGGCTAGGTGACCATGGGTGGTAGTGGCTGTGACCTCTTGTGCTTCAAAAGAGGAGGAAACCACTTCCACCCCCTTTTCTTGAGGTGTAGAGTCCCTGTTTGCTCTTCCTAGAAATCTGAGTGGGTTATGTTTTCACATTAGCCTGACTGGAGCAAGAAGGGCCCCTTCTGTCCTTACAAAGGGCTTGTAGACTCCCTAGAGCAGTGGTGGCGAACCTATGGCACGGGTGCCAGAGGTGGCACTCAGAGCCCTCTCTGTGGGCACGCGCGCCATCGCCTCTGCCAGGCCCAGACCATCATTAAAGTGTTGAATTCTCTGCCAAATAATTTTAAGTAAATGAAAGCATTTGGGATTGCTTTCCTAACTTTGTTTGGATCATCTTAAGTTAATGTATGAGGTGTTTTTTCTAAAGTACAACCTCAGTATTCAGGTTAAATTGCTGTGTTGGCACTTTGCGATAAATAAGTCGGCCTCTAAAAGGT